TTAGCCTCAGGATTGTTTTTACAAGCAGTAGGAGATGATGCCCCCTACTCCCCCACTGCCTTCCATGGCCTTCTCAGGCAGTCCTGTGCCATCGGGGGAACCTGAGAATGCAGCCGGTGTTTCTGCCAGCTGACTATAGAGCTGATTGGAGACCAGAATAGTGCCAGAAGAGTGACAATCATCTCTAAGTCTATCGGAGGCTACGAGCATTTCATCACTTTCACTTTAGTTTCATAGGATATAAACAGCGCCATTTGTAAATTGTGAAAGCATCTGATCGCACAGATCTTGGTTTGATTAGATAATGTAAGGGCAGAGGAGATATCTAGAGTCTGATAGAACCCAGATTTCTCAAAAAAGAATATATGACAATGCCCATTGAAGTTATAGGGGATATTTGCATTCCCTGTGATAGCATTAAAAGTGATAAAAAAAAAAATTGAAGGGGACAGTGTAAAAATAATTTAAAAAAATCAAAATAAAAAAAAAAAGTACCCTTGCTCCCTGTGCTCATCTGCATTTGTGAGCGTTGACCCTGTGCCAGTATGGAAACAACGGTTGCACTATGAATGTGAGATATCACCACCAACGTCAGATCAAGGGCAGTAATTCTAACACTAGACCCCCTCTGTAAATCTAAAATGGTAGCTTGTAAAGGCTTTTAAATTGTTGCCTATGGATATTAAAAACGTATGCAGTTTGTTGCCATTGCACGGGGCATGCGCAGTTTTAAAGCATGTCATGTTTGGTATCTATTTACTTGGCATACCTTCATCTTTTATAGTTTACCAAATAATTGGCCAAATATTTTGTGTTTTTGTGCATTAAAAGTAAAAACAATGATTTTCTTTTTTAAAAATTGCGTTTGAAAAATCTTTGCGCGAGTACTATGTGACATAAAAAATTTCAGCACCCACCATTTTATTCACTAGGGTGTTTTCTTTTAAAAAATATATGGGGTTTAAATTAATTTCCTAGCAAAAAATACTTCAGGTGGTTAGAAGAGTGAGTGACGTGTGGTGTAAACTTCTAATGCTGGGCATAAAATGACCCCACCCCCAAAACGACCCCTTTTTGGAAAGTAGACATGCCAAACTTTTTGCTGAGAGGCATCTTGAATCAATAGAAGAATTAATTTTTTTTTACCACAGGCTTTTAGAAAATGACAACAATTTTTTCTCTTTTTTTACACAAAATTGTCATTTAAATGATTTATTGCTCATACATGCAATGGGTATATGTGGAATTACTCCCCAAAATACATTCTGCTACTTCTCCTGAGTATGGGGGTACCACATGTGAGAGACGTTTTGGCAGTCTAGCCAAGTACAGGACCCCAAAACCAATAAGCACCATCAGGCTTTTAAAGGGCTTTATTTCCTCATTACACTTCCTGACTACCTATCACAGTTTCGGAGGCCCTGAAATGCCAGGATAGTACCAAACCCCCCCACATGACCACTTTTTGGAAAGTAGACACCCCAAGGAATTTGATCAGAAGCATGTTAAGTATTTTGTTTGTTGGCACCAGTTTTCAAAACTTTAAGAAAAAAAACAAAAACATATTTTTCTTTTCTTTTTTTATATTTCAAAACCTTGGGAGAAAAAATGAGATCTGCAAAATACTCACCATGCCTCTTTTTAAATTCCTTGGGGTGTCTACTTTCTAAAAGGGGTAATTTGGGAGGGTTTGGTGCTATCCTGGCATTTCAGGGCCTTCGAAATTATTATAGGTAGTGAGGAAGTGAAATGAGGAAGTTACGCACCTTCAGGCTTTCAAAGTGGTCCTTGGATTTCAGGCTCCTGTATGTGGCTAGGCTCCCAAAAAGTCTCACATGTGGTGCCCCCATACTCGGTAGAAGTAGAAGAATGTATTTTGGGGTGTAATTCCACATATACCCATGGCTTGTGTGAGAAATATATCATTTAAATGACAACTTTGTGTAAACAAAAGAAAAAAAAGTTTTTGTCATTTTTCAGAAACTTGTGGAAAAAAAAAAATAAATCTTCAATGGACTCAATATGCCTCTCGTCAGATAGCTTAGGCTGTCTATTTTCCAAAAAGGGGTCATTTGGGGGTGTTTGTACTATCCTGGTATTTTAGCACCTCAAGAAATGAAATGGGCAGTCAGAAAGTAAAAGCTGTGTAAATTCCATTATCTATACCATAGTTTGTAGACGCTATAACTTTCACACAAAGCAATACATATACACTTATTGGGATTTTCTTTAACCAAAAACAGAATACATTTTGGCCTAAATTTATGATGAAATTTTAGTTTTTTTGGATATTTTTTTAGGACAGAAATGAGAAAAATATCGTTTTTTTTTAAAAAAAAATGTCTCAAAAATTGCGCCAAAAATAAAAAGCACACAGGTGATCAAATACCACCAAAAGAAAGCTCTGTTTGTGTGAAAAAAACTACATAAATTTCATTTATGTACCATATTCCATGGCCGCGCAATTGTCAGTTAAACTAGTGCAGTGCTGTATAGCAAAAAAAAAATGGCGTAAATTGCAGTATTTATACCATAGTTCATAGTAATCAATATACACTTATTGGGATTTTTTTTTACCACAAACATGTAGCAGAATTTTGGCCTAAATTTATAACTAACTTTGAGTTTACTATATATTTTTTATAGCCAAAAGCAAAAAAATATTGTTTTTCTTAAAAATTTTCAGTCTTTTTTTGTTTATAGCAAAGTGCACAGGTGATCAAATACCACCAAAAGAAAGCTCTATTTGTGTGAAAAAAGGACATAAATTTCGTTTGGGTACAGCATTGCATGACCGCGCACTTTTCAGTTGAATTAGTGCAGTGCCGAGTAGCAAAAAGAGGCCTGGTCATTAAGGGGGGTAAATCCTCTAGAGGGCAAGTGGTTAAAGTGGTAGTAAACTCTCATATTTTATTTTTTCCTACAGGTAAGTGTATAATAAAGCATACCTGTAGGTAAAATGAATATCTCCAAAATGTGAACTGTTTAAGAGATATTCTAGCGAGCAGCAGCCAGTGACATCACTGCATTCTGAACGAACTGCATACCACTACCATTCCTTCAGAGCTGTGTGCCATGGCCAAGACTCCCACGCACATGCACAGGAGTGACATCATTGCAGCTCAGCCAATCAATCAGCCGCAGCCTGGGGACCAGGAAAGAAGACTGGGTAAGAATGGAAGCCTCTGTTTTAGGGTAAGTCTTCATAAAGTGCTATGCTAGTATGCGATGCATATTAGCACATTATGCGTTTGATTTGAAGGGGGTAACTTTTTTTTCTACAGTTTACTACCCTTTTAAAGTCTAATCCCAGGTAGCTTGAAAAATATAATTTGCAGTGCGGCTGCTTTAATTGCTGGTTACGTATCAGGTCCACTCTCTCAGCAGACAGAGCTCCCCCATGCTCTGGCGGTGTACTGTCTCTCAGCATCCTCACATCCAGTGTAGGGCTATGGACCCAGCTATGGTTTAGATTACATCAGGACCTTAGACCGCTGAAGAGTAGGGGAAGAAATGCTGTGGGAACCAGTCAAGCAGCATGGAGAAGAAGAGGATAGGGTAAGTAAATCTACTTTAAGAAGTCCCCTATATCTAAATCAATTAACCCTTGCTCAATTCAATTGTTATAGGAAAAAAGGTGTCACATCCCTGTATCTATATAGGCATACAAAAATTCAGTAAAATTTGACTTTTAAGGCACAACATTATACATAAAAATATATTTTTAATTTAATTCATATTTAATTCATATTCATAAAAATATTTTTCTACAAAAATATATCACAATTACATGTAAAATTTTGCAACACCTATTTAGAAAGTTATAAAAACATCTCAACAATATAGTGCATCATATCCAGAAAAGGAAATTCTTAGTGGCCCAACATATTTCCTGGACATAGTCTACTTCTTCAGGAGCCAATGTGCACCAATGCTCTAGAACAATAATAATATTCTTCTAAAGTGGACCAGAAAAAGTGTTGGGCCACTAAGAATGACCTTTTTTGGATATGATGCACTATATTGTTGAGATGTTTTTATAACTTTGTAATTAGGTATTGCAACATTGTACATCAGTGATATATTTTTGTAAAAAAATCTTTTTATGAACATGAATTAATTAAATCTATTTTTATACATAATGTTGTGCCTCTAAAGTCCCATTTTACTGCATTTTTGTATGTCAATTAACCCTTGCAGTGGGGCACCGATTTACCACAAGAAGAATTTTCAAGTTTCTCAGAGGGCTTTAAAACATAACTTTGTCCTTTTTATAATTTATAAATTTAACTTAATTTAAATTTTACTTAACTGTCTAATTTGTAAATAACTTCAACAGCAACAAATGTAACAATGTGTGATAGTTCTGGAATAAGATTGCTATGTTGTGTCTAAAGTAACAATAGTTTCATCATGTACAATGATTAAAATGAGCTTATTTCCATAATTTTGCATCTTTATAGTCTTATTGTTGGAACGTTGCACTCTTTGAATGAAAACAAGAAAATACTGTACATGTAAACCTTTACTTACTTTGATTGTGTATCGAGTATTTAAAATCAGTTTATTATTTGTTTTGTAACTGTCTTCTGTCTAGGGAAAAATTAACTTGGTCTGTCCTGTATCCAACATTAAACCTGTATCCAATGTCAATGAATACAATGCATTTTTGTTTATACCCACTTATATATATTTATCTTTTTTTTACCTAAGACATCTTTTATTTCAATAAGTTCCCAACATTTCTTACTTTTTTCTTTTATAAGAATAGCCCTCCAGTAGACATTATAATTTTATTTTACTTTTTTTAAATACATGTGTAAATTCATTTTAAAAAGTAAATTTAAAAGAAAAATCAGTTCTTTGCATAATCAAATCAAATCATTAAATAACCATTAACATTTAGCATACACCAATCTATGTATGTTAATAACCAACTATATTTGTCAAAATGTTGCATGTTACGATGTTACATTTTCATTTTCTTATCCTTTCTGTAGAACCCACTGTTCGCCTCATGGATGGCACTGGGTCTCACCGAGGAAGGGTTGAGGTTTTTTACAATGGACAATGGGGCACCATATGCGATGATCACTGGGATGATACTGATGGAAAAGTGGTATGCAGGATGCTGGGATTTTCAGGAGTTGCTCGGGTTTTTACCAAAGCATTCTTTGGTCAAGGTAACATTCCATACCAGGATATACTAATGACGTACAGATGTTTAATCCACATTGATTAATAATTGGTGAGACAACTCCAAACTAAAGTTCTCTCTGCTGCATTAAGTGGGGAGAACTATGTAGGATACTGCAAGCTGCATACTAAGGCCTACATTTTCTGAATAAGTGAGCTGAACTATGCAGCAGTACTAGTTTAATGGAGAGCAGATAGCACACCAAGCGATCCCATTAAAGTGTATGTAAACCCAAAAGCAAACATTTAATGTATTGTAGCTTACCAGCTCTTAAAAGTGGTGGCTGCATTGGTTTTTTTCATTTTAAAGAAGTTTTAATCCTGAACCTGAACCCCATTGAAATTAATCATAGCCAAATCTGACAAATTACAAATGGCTAGTTCATGGGCTAACAAGCAAATGGGTGTCAAAAATAGCATGGGTGGGAGCACTGCCCTTTACAAAGGGAACAAGTGTTAAAATTGCAAATCACATGTTATTGATAACTTCTTTCTTAAATAGCCTGGCAATGAATGTCATTTGCCAACAATTTAAACTGTATATTTTTAATTTGTAAGAGTCATTTTTGCTCTAGCACTTCTACAGCAATAATAAAAAAAAATGCGTAGAGTCCTCCCAAACTACATATTAGACCCTTTGAACGTGGTAGGGGTTTTTAAAGCAAAAAAAAATGCTTGAGGTCCCTGAAGAGGTATAAACCAGATTCTTAGACTCTGGTATGAATTTTAAAGTTAACCCCATGCAAACAAAAGCATGAGGTCCCCTAAGACCCTTAATCTGACCATGCAGCCTGGTGGCTATGATGGGGGGGATGAGTGTGCACCCCCCTCCTGAACCAACTAGATCACATTCCCTCAACATGGGGATTGCCTTGCTGTTAGTTTTGAAGGTATGCAATTGGGGGGTCATCAGAATTTGGAAGCCACCTTCAATAAGGGGGCCCCCAGATACCACCCACCCTGGTGAATGAGTATGGGGTACATAGTACCCTATATTCATTCACAAAAAAACTTGTAAGCTAGAAATAAAGACACCCAAACATTTGGCAAGTCCTTTGATAAAAAGAAAAAAATCCATAAAAAAGTTCCCTGGTGTGAATCTATCATAAATCACGATGCCTGCTACCCGCTGACTTACTATCAACTAATGGTACACGTAGCCAAATGACAGCTGTCATCATCCATATAAGGGAAGGGTTAGGGATAGTGGTGACATCATTGGCCAAATATAGCAGCTGCCGAATTTAGTCAATGTCATTGCCAAAATATGTCCAGTGGTCATATTTGGGAAGTGATGTCACTGCTATATCTGCCCCTTTGCTTTAAAGGAGCAGGTATTCTCATGATGCCAGTGATATTTATGGACTTAAGCACCATAGCATACTTGGGAACCAGTCACAATGGAAAGCTGTCTTATATAGTGTTAGAAATACAAAGTCTATATAAGATTGTCAGCTCCCGCCAAACATGGGTCCGAATGGGCTAAAGTTTGAACCTAGGCTTAGGCCAAACTGTTAGCTCATCCCTAATTGTGACGTCTTTTGCTCACCTTTCTACCACAGCAAATCAGAGGAAGCCTTGTACTCTTTAATACAAATACAAGGCTTCTGCTGCATGCTTGGCTCTTTTTCATTTTGGCAGCAGGCGGGAACCCATGCTGCTGGAGCAAAGCATCCCTTACTGTGTGTAGTTATTGTGATTACAGCATGTTATAGTGAGCACAGTGGCCACATCAGTATGGAACAGAAATACTCATAAAAATGTTGGATAAATACAAATCACTTTTTTTGTTCAGCCAGTGGGCTGAAAAAAACAACAACAACAAAAAGATTCCTGTATTCAGGGGAATGCAGGAATATCCCAGACAAGACATTGTCATCTAACAGTCGGACTTCACTGTTAGATTGGCTGCAGCCACTGATTTATTTAACATTTTCCAGCAGATCCGTTCGACAGAAGCTGATCTAACAATCAGCTTCTGCTGAACAGGGAGGGCCACACAGAATGAAATTTGTCCAGTCCCCGCTGAACTAGCCAAAGTTTGATTCGTGTGTACCCAGCTTTAGCTGGAATTCATCTTTAATTTGTTAGTCAGGTCCATCTAAATTTGCCAGTGAATCAAACACTACCTTCTCCATAGGTTGACAATTCTGCTGTCCAAGGGTAGCTCCATTGCCTCTCCATAGAGAGGAGTAACCCTAAGACAGGAAATATATTACTGGCTGGATCACTAGGTGAAAATAAAGGAAAAAAAGGCTACAAAAACAAGCAAAGCCACCACATTTAGGGATTGGTAAGCTGCAATTTATTAAATCTTTGCTTTTAGAAGTATACATTTTATTTTCAGATTATTACTATGCTCTGAAAGGACCAGCGTCTGTAGTTTACTTAATTGTAAGCTACTATGCAGTATATTAATTTCACATGTGTGTAGTTATATTTTCCTTCACGTTTACATGCTGACCTAGTTGTCAGGCTAAAGTGACAATGACAGTGGTGGAGACAATTCTGTTTTTGTGGTAATCATTTAATAATGATGGAAACAACCAGTGGTGTCCCAAGGCAGGTGCGAGGGGTGCGCGCCGCACCGGTGACACCTACCGCACGGGGTGACACCGGACCTGCTCCACGAAAAGGTAAGTTGTAAAGCAAGCCAACGATCCCCGCAGGACCTTTTCGTGGAGCGGGTCCGGTGTCACCCCGTATAGGTTGCATGTCGACGATTTCCTCAGGATGGATCGGATCTGCGGATTGGGGAGCATAATGGATTGGACTCCGATCCATTATGCTCAATACGCAGATCCGGACCATCCTGCAGTGATCGTTGGCATGCAACCTATACGGGGTGACACCGGACCCACTCCACGAAAAGGTAAGTTGTAAAGAAAGCTGACGATCCCCGCAGGATGGATTGGATCTGCGGATTGGGGAGCATAATGGATCGGAGTCCGTACAACACTGTTCTTCTAGTTGATATTTTAATTTAATAAATATACACAGGGAGCATATTTATGAAGGTATGAATGTGACATGTCTTAAAGACTCATTGCAGCCAAATCGTTCTGGTGAATGTGTACAGTGAAAAATTCACCACTGGATTTTAATATGCTCCTGGGCTAATTTGCACCTTTTCTTTGTTTGATCTAAATCTGTTTGCTAATTGTTTTGTAAAACTCCAAGTAATTCTGGGGGAGATTTACTAAAACTGGTGCGCTCGGATTCTGGAGCAGCTGTGCTTGGAAGTCAATCAACTACTAACTTCAGCTTGTTCAATTTATTTCCTGAAATTGAACCTTTCCAAAACCGAGCTCCTGATTTTCCCCCCAGCCCGCGCCCCCCCACCCCACCCTCTCCATCACGACCAACAACGCCACCATCAGTCCCACCCCACAAGCCAGAGTCCTAGGTGTCACTCTAGACTCAAACCGGCCCTTCCAACCCCATGTCCAATCGTTGGCAAACTCATGCAGGCTCCACCTCCGCAACATTTCCAAAATACATCCGTTCCTAACCTCAGACACTAGTAAACAACTAGTTCACTCCCTTATTATCTCACGTCTGGACTACTGCAACTCCCTTCTCACCGGCCTACCTCATCACAGACTATCCCTGCTTCAGTCTATCCTGAACTCAGCGGCCAGACTCATCCACCTTACCAACCGCTCCGCTTCTGCCACCCTCCTCTCTCATTCCCTCCACTGGCTCCCGATTGCCCAACGCATTAAATTCAAACTACTAACACAGACATACAAAGCCATTTATAACGCTGCCCCAAACTACCTCACCGACCTGATACCCAAATACCACCCTACCTGTAATCTTCGATCCTCACAAGACCTCCTACTTTCTAGTTCCCTGGTCTCCACCTCCCACGCTCGACTGCAGGACTTCTCCAGGACTTCCCCCATCCTCTGGAACTCACTACCCCAATCCATCAGACTGTCACCTACCCTCCTCACCTTTAGGCGCACCCTGAAAACCCATCTCTTCAGGGAAGCCTACCCCGCCCTCACCTAACAGCCGATCTCCTCCACTCCTCCTACCACTCCATCCCCCACAGCCACTTTCTCCTGTACCACTATCTCCTCCCTCCTAGATTGTAAGCTCGAAAGAGCAGGGCCCTCGAACCCCTCGTGTATTGTTGTTACTGTATTGTCTCATGTACTGTCCCCCACTATAATGTACAGCGCTGAGCAAACCTTTTAGCGCTATATAAATACTGTATAATAATAATTATTTATTACAGGTACTTATATACTGCTATTTATGAAGCACTTTACATACATATTGTACATTCACATCAGTCCTTAACCCTAAAGAAGTGTACAATCTAAGGTCCCTAACTCACTTTCATACATACACATACTAGGGACAATTTACCTACCAGCATGTCTTTTCAGTGTGGGAGGAAACCAGAGTACTCGGAAGAAACCCACGCAGGCACAGGGACAACATACAAACTCCAGGCAGGTGATGCTGTGGTTGGGATTTGAACCAATGACCCTAGTATTGCCAGGTAGAAGTGCTAACCATTTAGCCACTCTGCTGCCCACGTCAATTAAGCTTTGGCAATAGAATCTGGAAGCTGATTTCTATGCAGAGTTGCACCAGATTTTGTGCTCTCTAGTTTTAGTAAATAACCGCCCTCTGTTAGCCAAAGTGCACCTCCAATCTAGTGTTTCTTAGACAATTTCTCATTACTGACTCACAGGCATCAAGGGGGAGATAAAACTCAAATTTAATTTTGTTAAAGGGAACTATATAAGTTTTAGGTTTAACTCCAGGCACACAGCTAAATACACAGATAAAATTCATATATACTGTTCAAGCATTTTTACTTGCCAATGTATTTGTATTTCTGTCTATTTCTTTCTAATGGTTCACACAACTCTGTCACATAGCATGACCCAGTCTGAGAGTGAAGGAGACCTGATTTTTTTCTCTGCTGCTGGTTAATAACACTTACACTCTCCAGCCTATAACTGAACAGTAAAAGGTGAAGCAGTTAGGGCTTGTTCACACTTGACTTCTTCCAAAATGCCCCTATAGTGTTTGATAGGCATTAGACAGGCAAATGCTCCCCAAAACACCCTATGTGCGGTTTTGAGGCATTTCATAGTGTTAAACCGCGTTTCCAAGCGTTAAACTGCACCACAAATGCCTACAATGAAGCTAATGGTATTAATGCCCAGAAAATGCCTCGCAAACGCCACGCAAATGCCTGCCAGGCGTTTGAGGAGCAACACCATAGACTTGAGTGGGAGGCATTGAAAGGCTTCAACTCCTCCTGACTCGATATGAGGCGCCAATTTTGCAACACCGCAATGCTAATGCTTCAGTGTGAACAGCACTGTGTGCTGCCATCTGTATCATTTTCATAGGCGTTTGAGGAGCGTTAAAAACGTTCCTTAAACGCCCGCAAAACACCTGGTTATAAAGCTAGTGTGAACTGAGTCTTACTGATAAGCTCATCTCTCTTTCATTCTGCTCTCTCCTGTTACCATCATGCACTGCAGCACAGGTGATTGGTCCCTTGTTCTGTGTCTCCCTCCCCCAGTCTGAACTACTGTACAGGGACTGCAAGAGACTGATATCAAGTCAAATTCAGTAATATACAGTAATATACACTGCTTGCATATATATATGATGATGATGATGATTATGATGATGATGTTTTAATGCAGGGGTCTCCAAACTTTCTAAACAAAGGGCCAGTTTACTGTCCTTCAGACTTTACGAGGGCCAGACTGCAGCTAGTGGGAGTAGAAAAGGTCCCGACATCAGTGGGAAAAAAATAATGCCCCTTTGTTTGGTGTCAGTGGGAGGAATTCTGCCCCATCGATGTCATTGAACACTATCATTTGTGTCACTGGAAGGAATTGTGCTCCATTATTGATGTAATTGGTCCCTATCATTTGTGTCGCTGAAAGGAATTGTGCCCCATTATTAATGTCATTGGACCCAATCATTTTTGTTACTGGGAGGAATTGTGCCCCATCGTTTGTGTCATTTGAAGGAGTTGTGCACCCTTCATTGGTGTAAGTGGGGGGAATTATACCCAATTGTTGGCATCAGTAGATGAAACCTATATGGGGTGTCCCAAGGGCCAGATAAAAGCAAGCAGTTTGGAGACCACCGTTTCAATGAATACAGAGCTGCATTAATCTATGTCTTTTATATCTGCCTGTAATAAACTAATACAATGAATTTGGAGATTTCAAAACATAATCCTTACTTCATCCAACTTTACAGAAACTGGTGGATTTCTTATTGATGTGTAATGAAGTATAATACATATACATGCACATGAATGTTTTGAGTATTTGAACCACTTTGTGAGCTCATAACATACATATGTAATTCCTGCATAGAGCTGTTACTGGATTGAGTGAAAGCAAGTTGATGAACTCCATTAGAGCTAAAGTGTATGTAAAGTCAAATCTTTTTTTTCTAGTTTAGGATAGTATGGAGAAGTATTAAAACCCCTGTAACTTGGTCCCAATAGACTGATGGTACTGGACAATGCAATAGACTCTTACTGTCTCACACTGGCCCTCCCACTTCCAATCCTTGCCTTGCTGGAAACTACAGAATGCTAATGTTCAGACAGATTCTGGTACTCATACTAGCTGTATTTATATTTATGAATTTCTTCAATGGTCTCATTTGCCTGAATTTCATTTACAAAATATTAACCCAGCTAAACTTTCTTTCACTCTGAATATAGTCCAGAATAGTTGCATTATTATTGCTGTCTGTGATCTGTTATGATTTTGCAGAGGTTCTATATTATACCACTTTATCCAAAATTTTAAATAAAACACACATTTAGGTTGGAATTCAATTTTAAGTGAAGATCTATTTTAATTGAAAACAAAAGATGTTGCTGCTAAAGTTCAGGTACAATATTTTCTTTAGTAACAACGGTTTTATTTGTAGGAAAGTTCAAAATATGGATGGATGATGTTAGATGTTCTGGATATGAAAGTTCCATTACACAATGTAACTTCAGAGGCTGGGGAATCACAGATTGCTCACATGTTGAAGATGCTGGAGTGGAATGCGTCAAATAAAAGTACATCATATTCTTATTCTTGTATAACTGTGTAACCTAGAATATTTAAATATAAACTATTGTATTCATTTCCACCAGTTACTTATTTTCTTTCATCCAGAAGAATTTCATTAAAATATAAAAGAAAGATCAGAATCACATTCCAACATTTTATGTTAACATATTCAATTGCCAACAAAAGGTGGACCACAAATGAAAGCCAGCATTTGCATTAAAAAGAAACAATAAAACAAATACATGAACAAATTACATTATGCTTATTTGCATTTCTGTGTAATATTATTATTGATGTTATTGGAATTTGCAATAAGAAGGCAAGCAGCATTTTACAGTGCATGTTACATTAAAATTTACTGTGTATGTTGACATACAGTATGTATATCTTTTAAATCATAGTCTCTATCATTTTTATGTACTTATTCTATTCTGAAGTACTGGTTGATTCTGACAATCACCTTTCTTCCTTTTTAGAAACTGACCACATAAAGTTCAGAAGCTGGTCTGTGGTTGCATGGTCAGTTTTAAACCTTTGGCTAGCCATTCAGAGATACAGTGCACTGTGCAGACACACAGCATGCCTGTATTTAAGTCCTCATGCACACTGGACATTTTTACAGCTGTTTTTGGCTTTTGACATTTTTTCCACAGCCAGTAAACCCTCCAGCATGTTCTCCTATGTGTCCATGCATACAAAGACAGTAATCAATGTTTTTTGGCAGGGACGTTTTTTGGCTGGAAAAAATCCCCAGACCTAGTGGGTTTCTAGAGGAGTTTTTTTTAGCTGTAAAATGGCTCTAACGCTAAAAACCGTGGCAAAATGTGGTAAATCGTGGCAAACCAGTGCCTTTGAACATTTTTTAGCATAAAAACCTCTAAAACACTAAAAACCGCAAACACAAAAAAGCGGCAAAATGCAGCTAAATGCTAATACAAAAATGCTAAAAACTGCTGAAAAACTCACATTTTTAAATGACTTTACACAGCTAACGTTACCAGCATTAAACCACCCAGTGTTCATGGAGGCTAAATGTTTGTTCAGCCATCATGCCCCTGACCAATCACAACCTGACTCTGGCACACACCCCCTTCTAATCACAGCCTGCCACTTGAACACAACTCCAGCTCCAGCAGATCCTCCATCTTGCTCTAAGCCAAACACACTATGAAATACAGGCACACTGTGTGTCTGCACAGTGTCCTGTAACCTGGCCCTCCACTATCAAGAAGAAGAGATGCATGGTAACATGACAGAACTTTTTAATCTTGCAAAAAAGGTAGAATTGTTTATTTCTTAACTAAACAAAAAGGTATAACTGTATTAGAAAGTGTTTATACCATTTTATGTTAACAACTACTTTAACTTATAAATATAAAAAAAGAGTCACTTGGAAGGGGTAGTCACTACAAATGTTTGAAGCAAACTAATTTCCTAGCATTCATCCTTTCTATTTAGCAGCGGTTGAAACTTACAGAATTTAATTTGTCAATACATGTTCTCCTGTAGAGTTTTATCATGGGTGTAGAGGATTCTTGATAGTAGTGTGTATGCAGCTGAGACCTCTGCTTTCACTAATAATTTAGAAGCAGGTTTTAATTAGGTCCCTTTTGGTAGCTGACAAAACTGGGGAATTAGTTTAATCCACTTTTAGTATTCAAGTTGTTGTGGTTTGCTGACCTTTAGTTAGTATGACTGTATCATTGCAATACTATTTTTTAATTAAAAAAACAAAAAAGTATCACATGATCAAATGGAAGAGTTTTATTTATTACAGTAATGCATCATGTTGAAAGTATGCTCTTTTGAAGATACTATATGTTATACAGAGCAACTTTGCTCATTGACTATAGAGAAAATAAGTAGTAGAAATTATGAGATGATTTTATTCTGTTTTTATTCATGATTGCCCATACTTGCCAATTTGAAAGGTCTGCATAAAAAACTACGGTGCTTAGAGTAGATGTAGGGATCAGAGGATATGACTTCTCCTGGACCACTGACAGGCATGTAGCTTTTACAAGTGGCACAGTTTAACTAGGTAAGTACAAATTTGGAGTTTGCAATTTCCTTTTAGGCGCTTAATGCAAAATGTTTGCTGTCAGGATGCTAGATGCTAAAATACTACAAGAAAAATTAAAAGAAAAACAGACCATTAAAAATCTAAATTATTGTAACCAATATAATCTTGAACCCCAGTAGAGCCAACTATTATTATTCCATAGGATAAATAGAATATTAAAATTTTAGAATATATATTGTGGAATATTCTATGGAGTATTAGTAAAATTGTGAAACAGCTGGCTATGTTTTCTTTACTATGTATTTTTTGAAAGATTTTTCTCTGGTTGCCCTTTAACAGTAAACATTTCACGAAAGTTTTTTTATGTTGAAAAATACAAATTTATAACCTTCAGATGGACAAAAAAAGATGTTTCCCTGAAGAAATTGTTTGCCAAACCTTTTGGTAATCTTCCCTGAAATGTGAGTGAGTAAACTAAACTGTAAAGCCAAATAAACTTTGAAAGCATACTCTTGTCAAATGGAACATTTTATCTGGCTTTTCTCTGTTAACCCACATTCCAGTTTCAATGTTATTGAACCGCCTAAAGATCAGGCCTATTCTGACACTTCTCTGCTACACGTAAAAATCTAAATTTTGTTGCTAGAAAATTATGTAGAACCCCCAAAAAATTATATATACATATATATTTTTTAGCAGAGGCCCTAGAGAATAAAATGGCTGTCAATGCAATTTTTTTATGTCACACAGTATTTGCACAGCGTTTTTCAAACACAATTTTTTGGGGAAAAATGCTAGAATTACTGCTCTATAATGTTTGCGGTGATACCTCACATGTGTGGTGCGAACACCATTTACATATGTAAACATGACCTACATATGTGTTCACCACTGTGCACGAGCACATGGGGGAGGGGCTCTTTAAATTTTTTTTCATTATTTATTTTATTAAATATTTTTATTTTTACACTATCCCCTTAATTTTTCTTTAATCACTTTTAATGCTGTCATAAGGACTGTAAACTTCCCTTGTGATAACAAAAAAGCATGACCAGCAACCTCTCCTTTACAGTGGAAAGCATCAGATATAAAAAAAAAACAAAAAAAAAACTTTGATCTAATGTTCAAAGAAAAAAAATGGCATTGTTTACATCGGCCGTGAACCGGAAGTGATGCCATGATGTTGCTCCCGGTTTCCCAGGTCATGGAAATGAGCAGAGCTATCTGTCCTCTACTAATATCTATGACCAGCCACCACAACTGCCGGATTGGTTCCAGGGTTTCCCGATGAGCCAGATAAGTCTGAGAACCTCCAGAAAGCAGAGGAGGACCCTTCCCGCCGCTTCTAAAAGTGATCCAATGGCTGATCAACCATTTGGATCACTTTTATCTGAAAGAGCAGTGGCTGCTGAAAATTTTAATAGTGGAGTTATTGCATCCAGCTGCAGCCATAACCCCCATATTCCACATGCATCTTCTCCATTGTAATGGTTGTTGAACAGTAGCTTGACCATGTCTTCTTGCATTAACTGGGAAACAAAACTGTATAAGAGTTTTAGGTATAACACAGTAACACTACCTTTTCATAACATTACCAATTGCTTATTAACCTTTAAGTACTTACCTCACGTTGATGAGGACAAGGGCCTCTTCCCCACAACCCTGGCCAGTGGTTGTCGAAATCTGGAAACCCCCTTTAACAAGGGGGCCCCCAGATCCATCCCCCCCATGAGAATGAGTATGGGGTACGAAGTACCACTGCCCATTCACAAAATAAAAAGTGTAGTAAAAAAAGACAAGGGACGGGCTTTGACAAGTCTTTTATAAAAAGCAAAAATAAAAAGTCCCCTGAAGTTGATCCAATGTCAATCACCACTGCAAACCGAAAAAAAAAAAAAAAAAAACAGCTCCGCTCTCGCGCTGGCTCCTGGTCATCTGACAGCTGTGCCGCAATGTCAGTTCTTAAATACTGTGATGATGTCCCCTTGTGACGTCATCATGCACTGTGATTTACCATTGCTTTGGCCAATCTCAATGCACTGTCAGGGCGCAGAGTATTGGTGTGGCATGGAGAGCGAAAAGCCAGCCGAACACTCTTACCATTCATGTGTTCTGTGAGCACAAGAGTGGGCCATGTTCGAGTTGTACTTACGTTCGACTTGAATATAAAGCCCATCACTACCTCTGAGCTATAGGTGAAGGAATGATAGACTTTCATATAGCAGTACTGCTACTCAGTGGTCTTCCACACAGCTCGGTGACATTTGTTACAGCACTTGAAGCTGGAAACAGAAAGCGTAAGCAGTGAAAATGCTCCTATGGCAGAATTTGACCACAACAGCAATAAAGACAAGTCACTTAAAGACAAACTGTAGAATTTGGAAATCTACAATAAATCAGCAATAGAGACAAGTTAAAAAACAAAATGCCAAAAGAATTAAAGCAGAATTACAAATAGCTTCAGATACTCAGTGAGCCTTTCACTGAGGGTGCTTCATCATTTTTCACCTGGTGCATTGATTCTGGAGCTGCAAGTCATATGACCAATAATAAAAATGTCTTCAGCTTTATCAAAACAAGACAGAAAGAATTATAATAACTACTAAGCAGGGGCGGACTGACAACTCATGGGGCCCCTGTGTTCTTGGCCAAACTCAAAAAAGCCTATGAAAAAGGTACCAGGGGAATCTCATGGGGCCCCCTACTGACCCCAGGCAGTGCCCGAGTTTTCAAATGGTCAGTCCGCCGCTCCTACTAAGCAGTGTATGATTTGAGAAGAATTAGGAGCGGTTATCCACACTGTCCTCTATCTAAAAGAGCCAACAGAAAGATGCCTATCAAACATGTTCTATGTTCCTACTCTTGATAGTATCCTTTTGTTAGTGAAGAAGCTCACCAAGCAACAACCAGGAAATTCAATATAGACCTAATGGCACTTTTCTGGTGGTAGTTCCCTTAACCACTTCAAGTCCAGACACTT